GAAGGGGTTTCTGGGAGGGACAGTTGGAGAGTCGGTGCTGTGCCTAGGACTCTGCAGGGCCTGCACTAACCTGCTGTCTCTTCTAGCACCCCCCTTTGTGGCTCGAGAAACACTACGGGCCTGGCAAGAGAAGAATCACCCCTGGCTAGAGCTCTCTGATGTCCACCGGGAAACAACCGAGAACATCCGTGTCACAGTCATCCCTTTCTATATGGGCATGAGGGTAAGTGCTCGAGTGGGCTTCTTCCCGCAAGACTAGGCCCCAGATTCTGTGTGGTATCCTTGATGTGATTGTTGGGATGCGGTGAGAGTGTATCAAATCCTAAACCCTGCCCTGTGGTTCTGCTCTCAAGTGCTTATGTATGGGGTGGCATTGAGTAGCCTCTTGGTAATGGCCAGCACCATGACTTAGAGCAGGAAACCCACAGACCAGGAAGTAGTCCTCCATGCTAGCTCCTCATTCTCCCTTCTGGTAGAGGGACATTCTTGTGAAAAATATGTATACATATACTTGCCTAAATCAGTGTGGACTGATTATCACACTTTGTGTTTAGTAGTGTTGTGATCTTTGTCTTGCCTCACTCCAAGCTGGGCTTGCAGATACAAGTATAAATGGAAGATTTCTTGCCTATTAGGATTCAGTCATGGGGATGTCCACACCCATCAAAAATGGTCGTAAGAGGGCTGTAAGGATAACGGCCCCGGGGGCAGTAAGGCTGGTGAGAACAGAGCCATGGAGTGGACTTCTGTTGGCATCCAGCTCTGTTGGCTTTACCAGGATTGGGGAGGGGCAGAGCAGGAAGGATTTGGTAGGCTGCTGACCATAGTTCTGTCATTCATCATTGGTTCCCAGATATTCACAGCTTGATCAGTCTCTGCTACCTTTCAGGAATACTTCATTTGAGAAGTGTTGATTGGAACAAACTTAGTCTCATCCTCAAACCTTTTCCCCCTCTAGGAAGCCCAGAATTCTCACGTCTATTGGGTGAGTGTCTCCCTTGGCAGGAGCTCAGGAAGGGCCTGGGGGAGGTGTGGAGGCACGTGTTTGCCTCTTGGCCAGGGTGGGTGCAGCCATCCACACTTTAAAACGTAGATGTCGGCCCTTGTTGCTTTTTACTCTCTGTGGAGTTCTGGATGGGCTGGCCCAAGCATTATTCTTCCTCACACATGAACTGTTTCCCTCACAGTGGCGCTACTGTATACGCTTGGAGAACTTGGACAGTGATGTGGTCCAGCTTCGGGAGCGGCACTGGCGGATATTCAGTCTCTCGGGCACCTTGGAGACAGTTCGAGGACGAGGGGTGGTGGGCAGGGTGAGCATCCTTGGGCCACTACAGCCTAGCTGCTGGTCCTGTTAGCAGGCCTGGGAACCTCGGGTATGTGTCTTCGTCTCTGTTATGGACAGAGTGACATACTGAGTTGTCTGTGGTTAAAAATCTTACAGCAGCCCTATCGGGTAGCTTGTCTGTAACCTGTTTCATGGATGAAGAGTGAGACTTAGAAGCTAATTAATAAGGGACAGGGGAGCTGGGTGGTGGTGGCGCATGCCTTTAATCCCAGCACTCGGGAGGCAGAGACAGGAGGATCTCTGTGAGTTTGAGGCCAGCCTGAGAGCTACAGAGTGAGTTCCAAGACAGGCTCCAAAGCTACAAGGCTCTCAAAACAAACAAACAAACAAACAAACAACAACAACAAAATAAGGGACGGGATGTAGTTGGTAGAGTGCCTGCCTGGCATCATGAGTTTGAGCCTAGCACTACATTAACTAACCGTGGTTTTATGTGCCTATAATCTTAGCACTTGGGATGTTTAGGGTCATCCTTGGCTGCCTGGGCTACATGAATCCCTATCTTGACACACATCCCTCTGGAACCCTGGTCTTCTCCAAGAGCAGCACGTGTTCTTTAACTGCTGAGCCCTTTCCAGCCCCAAAGCTCAGGCACTTACTGCTGAGCAGCACGTCTTCCCACCTACTCCAGCACTGGGGATCAAAGTGAGGGCCCTGTGCATGTCAGGCAAACAATCTAGCTACATCATACCCAGATGGCATGTCTTTTAAAACCCTGACTTTATGGGAAATAGAGTCAGAAGGATCAGAATTTAAGGCTATATTTTGGCCACATACAAAGTTTGAAGTCAGCTCATGTCTCTTTTTGCATTCATCCATCTAGTATTTCTTAAAAAGATTTTATTTTATATTACCTGCCTATCCTACCCTGACTCTTGAGAGATTAAGTCACAAGTAATACTAGTGTCATCCAGCACCACTGTTAGAAGACACTTGGGAAAGTGGGGTGAGAAGTAAATAGGGTTTAGACTGGGTATGTGGCAGTACCTGTATCCAGTACCCTGGAAGCTGAGGCAGGATTATTGTGAGTTTGAGGCCAAGTTGGGCTACATGTCATGTCTTTGAAAAACAAAAAATCTTCAGTAGGGCTTGCCTTCAAATTTCAGCTATGTACTATATAACTTTGGGGCTTTTTTTTTTTTTTTTTTTTTTTTGAGACAGGGTTTCTCTGTTTAACAGTCCTGGCTGTACTAGAACTCACTTTGTAGACTAGGCTGGCTTCAAACTCAGAGACCTGCCTGCCTCTGCCTTCCTAGTGCTGGGATCAAAAGTATGTACCACCATGCCTGGCTTGGGCAAATTACATAGCCCAAGTCTGTTTCTTATTGGTAAAGTAGGGATCACACAGTACTTCATGGTCACCAAGAGAATAAAATCTGTGGGCAGAGAGAGGGCCTGCTGTTATGACTGGCACTTGTTCATGAGAGTGAATGCAGGGAGAGATGTTGTCAGAGGAAGTCTGCCTAGCATCCTTCCCTGAGTGCTCCCAGTTTGTTTCCCTAGTGATAGACAGAGTAAGAGGCTCAGGCCACTGCCCATGCTGCGGGAGGAAGTACTGAAAGATGCTCATTGTAGCTATGTCTTCTAGTGTGTTGCTTGGGTGAAGGAGGCATCCGGTCAGTATTTGGTAGCCCCAGGATGGAGGGAATGTGTTTCTGGGGCTTGGCCTGACCCATTTTGCCTGAATTCTTTTAGGAACCAGTGTTATCCAAGGAGCAGCCTGCATTCCAGTATAGCAGCCATGTCTCCCTGCAAGCTTCCAGTGGGCACATGTGGTGAGTGTGTATGCTGGAGTGTATGTTGCTCAGCTCCCCAGACAGCTGCCAGTTAGCAAGTGAGAGCTGGAGCTGGGTGTAGTAGATGTATACCTGTCATGACAGCACTTGGAAGACTGAGGCAGGCTTATGAGACCCTATTTCCACTCATGCCAACAGCAACAAAGTGAGAGCAGAGTGAGGACCTGAGATGGGCACAAGTAGGTATTGTTCACTGCTATGTGGACTGTTTGAGGTTTTTTGTTTTTTGTTTTTTGAGACAGGGTTTCTCTGTAGTCTTGGCTGTCCTGGATCTTGCTTTGTAGACCAGGCTGGCCTTGAACTCACAGAGATCCGCCTGCCTCTACCTCCCAAGTGCTGGGATTAAAGGTGTGTGCCACCACCACCCGGCGACTGTCTGGTTTTTAGGGTTATGGTTTGTGGGCTAAGGAATTAGGTCCCAAGACTTGGGACTGTACTGAATTGCTCATGTAGTTGGGTTTCCCCCTTAATCTCAAGTTCAGGTTGGCTGCTCATATAGTACGTATATCCAAATGACAGAATCTTTATAGCTGTGCTTTTGTGTGTGGCCACATGGGACTCTTGGATCTTTGGTTATCTTGTCATGAGCTAGGCAAATGACAACCCCAACCTTCCTCATCCAGCTGTGGCTGGATGCACACAGATCAAGAGGGCTTTCAGTTCAGCTCTTTCTCCCTCTAAAGCAACTTCTCCAATTCTTAGGGGCACATTTCGTTTTGAGAGACCTGATGGCTCCCACTTTGATGTCCGGATCCCACCCTTCTCCTTGGAAAGCAATAAAGATGAGAAGACACCACCCTCAGGCCTTCACTGGTAGGCCAGCTGAGGTCCTTGAGTGCCCAGGTTGGGCCCCTCCAAACAGCTCTTAATCCCTAATTGCTGCAGAACTCTAAATCTCTCCCTGTTATGGGCCACAATGGGCCCCCTAATTTTGGGATTCTTTTTTGGAGGGGATTGTAACTTTTCTTGGAAGACCCACATAAGAATCCTCCAAGGTTGGCCCCTGCCCCAGGCCATGCCTACACCATGTTCCAGCAAAATTGTCAGGGAACTCTGTTCAGTTGTCACAGGTTTCTGGAATGTGAGGTGTGGTCAGTAAACCAGTGCTCACTTGGCCACAATGGCCATTTTGTCCCCAGGGTCTCAGGCTCCCTTGTTGGCCCTGTGGGAATTCTTGGTTGCTTTCCTGCAAAGTCTCTTCTAGGGAGCTGCTGCCTCTGCTAGGGTGTGTCTTCCTCAGAAGCTGGACATCTGCTGGGGGAACTGCTAACAGTGGGCTGCACTGGACTAAGTTCTCAGCCTCTTCTTTACCCTCAGCCCAGTGCAGAGGAGGCCAGGCAGCCAGCATTTAGGGTTGGAATGCCTGACTATAAACACTGATTAGCCACCAGCCACCAGGCCTGGTTTCACTAGGCCTGGAGAAGAGTGAGGCAAAACCAGTCAGTTTCCTGGAGCTGTGGGCTTCTGAGCATTGAGCAAAAGTCTGCCAGGCATCCAGACCACAAGTGCAGGAATTCAGCCAAGCAGCAGCTTACGTTATGGACAGTGACCAAGCCGAGCCACTTCCAGAGCTTCTGTCAGACCAACAAGAGGCAGAACTGGGCTGCATTCTGCACAGTTCTCAGGATCCTTCACCACTCTAGTCACTGTTGAGGCCCTTTCATTCTTGCATTATTAAATCTCAGTTCCAGTCCTTGTGAGCATTGTTCTTAATCTTCCACCAGGGGGAGTGTGGGGACTAATGAGTTTTCGGACCTACCTAGAATACAAGGTCATGGAGGGACCAGAAATAAAGAACTGAGCCCACAGCTGTGAGCTGGCCAACCTCTACTCCCTGGAAACATGGATCCGCACCATTGCAGTGTGACACAATTTTATTAGAAGTTAGTGTTTACTTCTATCACTTAGGGTAAGCAACCAAGGATTGCAGGTATGCATTAAGTAAGACACATTCTTTCACGACAGAACCTGTGCTACCCTTTAGGTAGACCAGTCACATCCATCCCAAGTTCAGCAGAGCCCGTTGCTGGTGTCTGTTAACAGCTCCCAGTTTGACCTTCATCCATACTTGTGTTTACTCCCCCGGGCTGCTTGTAATCGAAAATTTCATCCTTCCAAGAGCCACTGTAGGAAGAGGACTGGGAAATCCCACAAACCCCTAAGCCACAGAGTCTAAGCAAAGAAGCACAATCACTTCAGTGTTAGTGTTTTTCTTAAACCAAGGAGATGTTTTCCGTCAAAGAGGATGAATGCCCAGCCCTGGACTCTTGCTGTGCTACCTTAGGCCCAAGGACTAGACACCACTGATATGGATGTCAAAGCACCAAGTAGAAGCTAAAGGGGATGAGGAGGTTAAGGAACAAACTGGAAATACGAGGATATGGATGTCAAAGCACCAAGTAGAGGCTAAAGGGGATGTGGAGGTCAAGGAACAACCCGGAAATACGCAGCAGGGAGCCAGGAATGTGAATATTAGAGGGCTTCTTGGGGACAGCTGAGAAAATAGTCAGTGGCCTCATGCTACAACATTCCAAAGTCTGGGAAAGCCTCAAAGCCAAAGCCTAAATTTGGCCAAAAAATTGATTGTCATCTCACTTCCAGTGAGATCTGGAAGAACTAATAGCTGCTGATCACCACGGTGCCTGACCTGAGCATCTTAGAGCTATCTATACATTCAAGATTCACATCAAAGGCTTGATTACTTAGTCACATTTCTCCTGCTCTATTGTGTCATGTCAGGGCCTTGTGAGAGCCCAACCCTGGGCCTGGCATCTGCCCATAGGCTCTGAGAGGTGAGCTATGTGCAGCCATTTGGCAATTATAAAAGTGGTCAAGGGATGAAGCTGACAACCTCTGTCCCTTCCTGAGCACTGCTGCTGCTGATGGCCACACACTTTGTCAGGCTTGCAAACAGCTCTCTCCAGTGACAACATTCCTCTGGAAAGAATCCAGTTAAGAGGGCCAAGACCAGCAAAGAAGGGGAGGAAAACCAAAGCCCAGAGGAATAATTCATGTCTAGTCTAGACCTTGGTACCTCTATGATCAAGTGACCCAAAAGAAATTTGGGCCTTTAAAAAGGCTTAAGTTGCCCTGGTTACTATGTATTTGGAGCCTCATCACTAAACAGAACCACCACCAGAGCCAGAACATAAACCAAACATGATGTCAGGAGCTGGGCAAAAGTATGGCCGAGCCTGGGCCACATCTGTGGGCAGTGCTGGCAGCATGGGGCTCCAAGAGTTTGCTCCACAGCCTCCTGCTGCAGCTTGTGTTTCAGGCCTGCAGCACAGCTTTTGGCTTTATGGACTGCGGGGAGAGCATGTCTTAGAGCTGAGCATACCCAAGTATGAGACCCAAAGCAAACGATCGTGTTAGGTCTGAGTCAGTGATTTGGCCCTACAGGGGGTGAGGTATCTTTTCCCATAGGAAGCTATTAAAACCACGGTCTCATCTTGGGCATCCTTCCCTGTTGGGTGTTCTTTGGGCTGGCCAGTCACATTGACAAAGCCAAAGCTAGTCAGTTTGCTTTTTTTCTTGGGACAAAGTCTCTACATAGCCCAGGCTAGCCTGGAACTTTAACTACATAGCACAGACTGGTCTCAAACTTATGATCCTCCTGCCTCAGCCTTTGAGTGCTGGTATTATAGCATATGCCAGCACACCTGGCTACTAACTGCTTCTTTATCCCTTCCCTCAGATTCTGCAAGAGGGGATTAGTGTCAGAAAAAGCTTTGGATCAAGGCAGAATAGGCTCCTGAATGACAGATATACAAAGTGCTTTAAAGATGAGTCCTAGGGCATTAAAAAGGGTGGAGTGTGGGGGTTGGGTGGGGTGGGCAGGGATCTGTCTAGGTGGGGGCCTGGCATCCTGCAGGGGTAACAAATGCTTAGTCCTAGGTTGTCCCTCATCAGACTAGAAACTAGTCATTTCCTAGATACTTTGTGTGTGTGGCAGTACTGGGGATTGAACCCAGGGCCTCACTCATACTAGGTAAGTATTCTACCACTAAGCTATGCCACTAGCCCTCTTTTTAAAACTTTATATTGAGACAGTCTTGCTAAGTTGTCCAGGCTAGCCTATAACCTTTTATCCTGCCTCAGCCTCTCCATAGCTGGGATTATAGGCAAGGCCACCATGCTAACATCTAGATTTAAAAACAACAACAAAACAAACAAACAAAAAAAATCAGGCCATACCTATGCTTAAACATCTTAGGAAAAAAAAAAGGCTGCCCTTTCTGTTCAAAATTGGGTCCTTGCAGCACCAGAAGCCTCCTTTCCAGTAGAACAAAGCTGTTCCCATGGGCCTCAGCTGAGGAACTGAAGGAGCTCTTCAGCAGAGGAAAGGAGCACTCAGCCAAGGGCCTGGGGAATGTTCTTGGCAGGAGGTGGAAGTCAGTGCACTCACCCTAGAGCAGAAGTAGCTCCCTGTTGGGCAGGAAGTGGGGTGGCATCTGATGGGGGAGGAGGACCAGGTAAGACAACGTGGCCTTTCCTCTGCTGGGCTCCCTGATCTCCCAAGCAGGGCCTGGCACCGCTACTTGCTAAAGCAGGCTCCCAGCTAGCAGGAGCAGCATAGGGTGGCCAATGGGGTGTGTTCCACAGGAGAGCAGACATGGCTTCTTGTGCTCTGACTTCCTAAAGGTCCCATTAGTCTCGATGAGCAGACTGGTGGCCAAGTTGCCGGTCATCGTAAGTGCTATAGCGCTTGACGTGAATGCGGCGGACACGGTCCCGCAGTTCAAAGGTATCCTCATCTTCACTGGGGGAAGCCTGGCTGCGGCTCCGACTTGTGGCCTCCAGCAAGGAATTGTCAGGGACTCGAGGGGTCTCATAGAGTAGGACATTGAGTGTCTCCTCATAGATTCGGGCCTCTGGGAATTCCACCTGGGGAGAAGGGAACAAGATGGAGTGAGGTTTCATTTCCCGAGGAAACAAGTTAGCGCTCTTGACCTTGTCTCTTCCATGAAGCCTCCTAACTTAGAAGTCAGGTAGCTGCCCAGCTAACAAGGGAAGCATCAGGGGACATGAGAATATAGATTAACACCCCCCCTGCATCCCACCCCACTCCACAACTGACGATTATATCATAGGTATGTGCAGGCACAAACAACTCCATGGGAGGTGCTAGGTCTCAGGCCTGAGCTTTCTGGGATGCAGTTTCTATGGGTGTAAAGTGATACCAATTGCTACTTTCTTTGTTTTTTTGTTTGTTTTTGTTTTGTTTTGCTTTTAGACAGGGTCTCCTTATGGCCCAAGCTGCCCCAGACTCTGAATCCTCCAGACTCAGAATCCTCCTACCTCAGCCTTCTGGGTACTGGGATTCCAGGTTTGCCTGCCGAGCTGAGCTAATACCTCTTGAGATTTGTCAGCATCAGAAGAAAGACCTACATTCCTTAGCTCAGTGAACAGCCTGACTAAACAACCAAACACATAATAAAAAGCAGCTGCTTAGCCAGGCTGGGTGGTACCCATCTGTAATCCCTGCTACCTGGGATGCTGAGGCAGGAGGATGGAGAGTTTGAAGCCAGCCTACCTAGTGAAGTCCTGTCTCAATGAAGCAGTGGGGGCACAGAGATGATGGCGCAGATGGTAAATTAAAGGTGCTTGCCACCAGTCCTGACGACCTGAGTTTGACCCCAGGACCCAAATGGTGGAACCTAAATGGAGAGAAGTCTCCAGGCTGTCCTGTCTGTCACCCACCCACACAGACAAATGCAGTAATAAAGAAGTCACTCTGATAAGCAGTTCCACTGCTTTTCTGATCCTGAAAGCCCACCCCTAGGATCAATGTGGAAGAGATCAGGACCCCAAAATTGTAGCAACTCTGTCACAGTGAGCTCCTGTGCCTTCACCTCAAGTGGAGAGAATGGTTCCAGCTGGGCCCGTCCTACAGCTGGGGTGTAAGGGGGAGGGGAGTCACGGAAAAAGAGAGCACCTGGGAAGAAGACAGGCACTGCCACCTCTGCTGTTCCTCAGACCCCGAATCCTGACTCCAGTGTCACAGCCTCTTGGCTTAACCCCATGTCACACCCCCGTCCCACACACCCACTGCCAAAGACTCCTACCTCACATACGCTGCCCTTCGGACAGCCCTCAGCAGAGCACTCAGCCTGAGGCAGTGTGGCAGTCTGGGGCTAAGGTTCTTGGGTCTGGATGCTTGAACCCTTAATTCCCCTTCACTTCCCAGATAATCTGCCTGGTACTCCACCCAGTACAACTCTGCTGTCTCCAAGTATATATATACTCTAGGAAGACTCCTGCTGGCCTCTGCAGAAGGGGAAGAGCTGAGTATGTAAACTGTCCCCTACCAAGTAATTCACACAGCCGATTATAGTGGAGTATACCTGTAACCCTAGTACTACTGGGCTGAGGCAGGAGGAATGCCATGTGTTTGTGGCCAACCTACTAGGTTATGTAGCAAGCTTCAGCCTGCGCTTCACTGACCCTGTTTCAACAAGAAAAAATGAAAGGTGACTTGTGTTCATCTGCACTGTGAGGTCATTCCATAGGCTGGCTGCAAGAGCAGTGTTGAAGTGGGAAGCCACACTAGACTGCTGTTTCTGAGTCGTACCTTTGCCATGTATTGGCTACACTGAGACTCTCATTCCCATGTCTGCAAGCAGGAGAACAGACCAGTGTGGTTGAAATGGCTCCCGCAGATCAGACAACTGAGAAGGGGTGGGGCTAGAGCTGCAACTGAGTTGTGACAACCTCAGAGACCTGGTCCTTCCATGACCCAGAAAGTTCTTGCTGGTCAGTGGGCTTCTTTCTCAGCAGTGCTACCAGTTTCTGACCATCCCCAACCTCTTTGTTCTGGCTCTCTCCTACCTGGCACCATCACACCATGTTTGGGAAAGTCCATGAGGCTCTTGGGTTGCTGTGGGAAGGGTGCACTGGGGCAAGACCAGTTCTCCACCCTGGAGTCTGTGTAATCTGTCCCCACAGGGGAAAGCCCATACCTTGGTCTGCTTCTTCTCGGTGGCATACACGATGGAGGTGCAGCACACCTCTGCCAGCTTACGACCCTGGCCATAGAAAGACCAGCAGCAGATTTCATCACCAATGACGTCCTTGATGAAGAGCACGCGGCCATTGAAGCGCAAAGACAGCTTGTCAAACAGTTCAATGTTTTTCAGCAGATGATCATCAGAGTTGCTGAAAAACCCAAGGGCCAGCAGGCCTGGAATGAGGTTCCAGCACAATGGAGGGCTGGTGGGACAGTCTGGGTTCTCCACCTCCCCCCCAATGCTAAAATGAAGACAAGACAGAGGCAGAAAGGAACTTGTAGGACTGAGGCCTGTGAGAGCGGAGGGTGGAACTGGCTCTCATTTATAGCAAAGAGTACTGAGGGGAAGTGGTGACCCCTCCCTAAGCCTGGAAGAAGGGGTCCCTCACTGCTCCATAGGAGACAGTGTTCTTTTGCTGTGGGGTGGATGATGCAGTGTCCACAGGGGACCATGAGAGCCTAGAGCCAAGCCGGGGTCTATCTAACCCAACTATGGCCTGTCAGGAGGACACAGTGAGGAGCATAGGCTTCAGGACTTGGTTTATGACTTCCTAGCACCCCTCTTCACCCACCAAGACAATGGGGATGGAAATCCCTGACGTGCTCCTGATATGAGACATTACAGGCATGCTTCACATTTTATCATCTACATCCCAACCAGGCTATGTAACAAATCCCCAGTGCCTCTGTCCTGAGTCCCCTTCTATTTCTGTTCATTGCCCTCAGCAAAGGTGGTTTCAACACCCAGCTCCGTGTTACATGTGTCAGGAATCTGAATTCCCTTGGGCCTACTGCCCAGAACCGGCTGGCTGCTCAGCCCTTAGGGTGCTTCTGCCACCCTCGCCAGGGAGATGCCCGCCGTACCTGGTGTATGAGTACTTGTTATTGCTCCTGTTGTACAGCAGCTTCACCACAGGCTGTGAGGGAAGAAAGAGTAAGGGCTAGGCCAGGAGCCTGGTGTCCCCAGGCCGCGGCCCTCAGAGTGCCCGGTACCTTTGTGGAAGATTCGATGAGCCTGTCCTCCTCTCTCAGAGATGTGATGATAGGGATGTTGCACACAGGCTGGTAGGACTCTTTCTTGTCCTGGGTGACACAGAGCAGAAAGCTGCCTTTAGGATCTAATGCTGGCCAGGTCCCTCCCTAGGCCTTGGGCCACAGTCACCCCTGCCTGGTAAGGAGGTAGACAGATCATGACATTCTTGGTAATAGATACTGCCAGCCAGTAAGCAGATCCCCACCGCAGAAAACCTGAAGCTCAGCTATCTACGTGAATGAACCAGAGGCCTAGCCGGCTTGTGCTGCCATGCACGGATACTTAGCGGCAGTTTGCTGCGCCTGGGCAGCACCTCATTGTTCTAGCTGGATTTGGACTCATCAACCTCATTTCCGACACAGCTTTCCAGGAGCCAAACCTAATGTCCCCAGAGGGACAAGTCCCAGCCTCATTAAGCCACCCAGCTCTTCCTGTACCTGCAGTGCAGTCTGGCACATGTTCACTAGCCCTTGAATGAGATAATATTTTGCTTCAGCCATCAATTCCTGGATCTCTTGCCGGTTTTGAGGGAGGGTGATGGTGTCATCTCGGAGGTAATTCAAGATGGTGCCAAAGTGCTTTCCACATCTGTCTATGAGGATCCAGCCTAGAGATTTAGAGGGATCCCACAGGATTACTGTTAGCCTCCAGCTGTGTCTGATGCAGGCAGAGGCCACCTGAGAGAGGCAGGCAGGCAGGCAGGCAGGCAGCAGCATGCAAGGAAAGGCGCTACATGGGAGTGCAGAGACGAGGCCAGGGGTGCACGGAGACCGAGGCCTCAGGTCTGTGCTGCTCTTCCCTATCCTGAGTCCAGAAACTCCTGTGTCCCTGAGAAGATACAGGTCTTCAAGGCTCTATGGAGGACTGGATGTCTAAGCTTGGGGGTACTCAGGTCACCCAGGTAATACAGAAATCACCAGTCTGCTTACCTTTTGCCCACTGCCCAGGCTGTACTGTGTTTATGACAAGCTTACTCATTTGGATATATATGTCAGCTTGTGTGTGTGTGTGTGTGTGTAGCCTTAGCTGTCCTGGAACTCACTCTGTAGACCAGGCTGGCCTCGAACTCACAGAGATCCGCTTGCCTCTGCCTCCCGAGTGCTGGGATTAAAGGCATGTACCACCATGCCTGACCCATATGTCAGCTTTTGAAACAGGGTTTTGCTAAGTTATCTGGGTTAGCCCCAAATTTGAGATTGAACTGTGTCAACCTCCTGAGTGTTGGGATTACAAACATGTGCCAGCATTCCTGGATTCTATTTGGAAAAAAAATATATATTTTTTTTCTTTTTTTTTTTTTTTTTTTTTTTTTTTTTTGGTTTTTCGAGACAGGGTTTCTCTGTGTAGCTTTGCGCCTGTCCTGGAACTCACTTGGTAGCCCAGGCTAGCCTCGAACTCACAGAGATCCGCCTGGCTCTGCCTCCCAAGTGCTGGGATTAAAGGCGTGCGCCACCACCGCCCGGCATATTTTTTTTCTTGAGACAAAGTTTCTTATAGTCTAAGGCTGGCTTCAAATTCGCTATGTAATGGAGGCTGGCTTCAAATTCCCGATTCTCCTGTCCCCACCTCTAAGTGCTAGCATTACAGACGTGTGCCACCACACCCAGCCTGGATATTTTTTAAGTATGAACTTTTTCCTCTAGATGATACATAAACATACAGCATTCTATGGACAATTTCAAGGAATTTTGAAGCTCTGTTAAGACTTGTAAGAAATGAAGAGGAAAAGATACAGATTCTAGATCTATTGAGCTTAAGCCCTGCCCTGAAGTCACCTCAGGATGCCCCCTTCCTCCCCTCCCTTGCCCAGCATGCCCCGATATAATGGCTCACCTTCTTTGTCGGTCAGCACCTCCATGCGCCCACTGAACATGGCCTTGAGCATAGTGTCATGCCGAGTGAGGGCCCGGACTGTAGTGTAGTACAGGGAGCCGCCCACGTTGAGCTGCACGTACTTGTTGCCCAGCCCGCCTCCCTTGAAGCCGCTTATCTTGGGCTTGGCCCCTGAGGCTGGGCACAGACAGGTGTCCCCGGACATCTCCCGCTGCAGGTAGATCACCACACGGCAGGAGGTAGGCTTGGAAGGCTCTGCCGTGGTGGAAGTAGTCACGAATGAGTGGCCCACAGAGGCCAGGGCCTCATACTCTCAGTGCTGGAAGCAAGAGGTAGAGAGAACACGGAAGTCAGCAGAGTAGAGGTCACAAGGGAGGAGGGACAGCAGCAGGAACTCTGACATGGTTTACTTCCCAGATAAGCCCATGCACTCCCAAGCAGAGGCTGAGTTCCTGGCTGTGCTGGTCAGTTTTCTGTCAACTTGACACAAGCTAAAGTCATCTGGGAAGAAAACCTTAACTGAGAAAAATGCCTTTATCACATTGGCCTGGAGGCAAGCCTGCAGGGGCATTTTCTTGATTAATGATTGATGGGGAGTGGGCAGTGCCATCCATCCCTGGGCAGGTGATCCTGGATGGTGTAAGAAAGCAGGCTGGGTCGGGTGGCGGCGGCGCATGCCTTTAATCCCAGCACCTGGGAGGCAGAGGCAGGCAGATCTCTGTGAGTTTGAGGCCAGCCTGGTCTACAAAATGAGTTCCAGGACAGGTACCAAAGCTACACAGAGAAACCCGGTCTCGGGGGTGGGGGGTGGGGAGAAGCAAGCAAGCAGGCTGGGCAAGCCAGTAAACAGCATTCCTCTATGGGCTCCGCTTCAGTTCCTATCCTCAGGTTCCTGTCACCAGTTCCTTCCCCAACTTTCCTCAATGAAGAACTGTGACCTGGGACGTGTGAGCCAAATAAACTTTCCTCCCTGATCTGCTTTTGGTCACATGTTTTATCGCAGCAATAGAAAGCAAATTAGGATACTGGGTGCCAGCAAGAATGACCCCTATGCTGTTCTCACAGTACCAGGAGCCAGGTCTGGGAGCATAAACTCCCTCCAGGCTCAGCTCTGCTTTGAGTTGCAAGGAAAACCCTTAGAACTAAGAGCCAGATAAATAGATCATCCTGGAATCCACCATACTGACTTCAGAAAATGGTTTCCCAAGACTCCCAGAACTCCAGACTTCTAGACTAACCAACTGGGGATCTAGCCAGCCTGGGAGTTTCCCAGGAGCCAGAAGGACAGGATGCATTTCCTGTCTCAGGAGTAGCCCGCTCCAGAACTCAGGTTAGCACCAGCCAAAGAAAGCCTGGATTTAGGAAGAACATGAGTATGGTTCTAAGAGAGGTTGGAGAGGGCCAGCTTTGGAGGCAGCCAGCCCGGGAGCTTGGCAGGGGTTACCTGAGCTCCCACGGGGTTTCCTGACCTTCCCCTTTCTTGGCATCAGTCTTGACCCAAGTTCCTGTAATTGTCACTATTTTTTCAAAGCAGAACACAGGATGGCTCTTTTGCTGCTTTTTCCTGAGGGCCCTATCTCTCTTTTTTTCCTTCCCACCAAGAATGGGGAGAAAAGACATGATGATAATACTAAAAATGATTAAGGAATGTAGAAAGTAAAACTAACAGTTCAGAAACCAAAGGAATGATTAAAGGAAAAGTTGGTTCGATCTCTTGGCTTGCATTATGGTTTTGTTGTTGTTATTTATATTCTAAGAGTCACCATGTGGTTGCTCGGAATTGAATTTAGGTCCTCTGGAAGAGCAGCCAGTGCTTTTAACTGCTGAGCCACCTCTCCAGCCCCATATTCTAAATTCTAAACCTGTAAACTCTGAATTAAAAACAAACAAACAAAAAGATTGAGTCCTAGAGTATGGTGATACCTGCCTTTAATCCCAGCACTGGGAAGCAGAGGCAGGAGGCTCTCTGTGAGTTCTAGGCCAGTCAGATCTACAGAGAGAGTTCTAGGACAGCCAGGACTACACACAGAGAGACCTTGTATCAACAACAAACAAACAAACAAACAAGGGCTGGAGAGATGGCTCAGAAGTTAAGAGCACCGACTGCTCTTCCAGAGGTCTTGAGTTCAATTCCCAGCACCCATATGGTGGCTCGCAACCATCTGTAATGAGATCTGGCGCCCTCTTCTGGCATGAAGGCAGAACACTGCATAATAAATAAATCTTAAAACAAACCAACAAACTGAATGGGTACAGACTTACTGTGGTTACCATTCCCTAAACATCACAGTGTAACAACTATTTGTATACATACAATAATATCCATTCACCAAAGAAAAAATATCATAGCTAAACTCACTGCATGTTTAGTATGTGGCAGGGAATATTTTAGGCATTGGGTATATATTTTATCTCACTTAATAAAGTTGTCATTTCTTATGCTCCTACTGTGTGTCAGACACTGGAAATAGAAAAGAACAAATACAAAAGAGTCCTGCCCTCATGGAACTTACACTCTACTAGAAGAAGACAGACTAGCTGGACATAACGGCACATGCCTTTAATCCTAGTACTTAGAAGTTTCAAGCTAGCCTGGCGTATGTAGTGAGTTCCAGGGCAGCCAAGGCTATGCAGAGAAACCTTGTCTCAAACAAAAACAAAAACACAAACTAGAAGACAGAGTATAAACAAGGAACAAAGAAGCAGACAGTTATACAGGCGATTGATGTAACTGAAAATACCAGAATGACCTGAGAATTATCAGGCTGAGGCTTGAGACCAAGGGAAGATGGCATTTCAGCTAAGGTCGGACAGTGTATTCTAGACAGCAAGTGCAATGCTCCTGTTTGAAACAAGGTTTAGAGGCAGAAGAGATGGCTCAGTGGTAAGAACATGTACTCCCCTTACAGAAGACCCAGGTACAGTTCCCAGCACTCACATCAACAGGCTCACAATAATCAAACTCCTGTTCCAGGGGATCTGACACCTTCTTCTGGCCTTTGCTGCACATGGTATACATATGTACACTCAGACACACACATGTACACTTAGATTTTTAAAAAATGTAACAAGTTTTATGGGGCTGGAGAGATGGATCAGCAGTTAAGAGCACTGGCTGCCTCCCAGACACCTACGTTCAAGTCATACCACTCATACAGTGGCTCACAATCGTCTATAACTCCAGTTCTAGGGGATCCGATGCCCTCTTCTGGTCTCTGTGGGCACCAGGCACAACATGCAGGCAAAACCACCACACACACAAATTGCTAAAAAGGAACAAGTTTTAGGAAGAGTGGGGACATGGTAAGTGGTAGACAGGAAGAAGGGGAAGGTGGTCTGATGGAGAGCCAGAGAAAGCCAGCACTACGTGATCATGAAGAACTGGGTTTTATGTGAATTAAAATATACTTTGGGAACTGACTGGAAGGCTTTAAGCAGGGGAGTGATATGATCTAATTTTATAGCCTCCACGGACAACTGGATGCTGTGTAGGACTGCAAAGGTGCATGAGAGGAAGTGGAAAGATCAGAGAAAGTAGTGGTCTAGGCAAGAGATGATGAAGGCATGGGTCACAGAAGCAAGGCTGGAGACAGAAACAGAAACCCCCAAAGTGGGATCGACCTCTTTAAATCCCAGAACACTCAGTGGATTACTGTTAGCCTCATGCCTTACAGGTGAAACCCAGACTGTTGTTCCTCAAACAAGAATGGCACATTTTTAAGTATTCAATATATATCAGCTTGTTAGACTAAAACTGTTCCTGAAAAGATCTAGGTATGTCCCTGGAATGGTCGGGGTGGGGTGGGGTGTTGTCTGGGAAAGGCTAGGGTGGTGCTGTGTGAAGTAACACATCCTTTTGGTGGCTTATTTGCTTCGTTGATGGAATACGCATGACATGAGTCCCAGGAGACTGACAGGAAGTAACACGAGAATGCTAGAATGGCGAGCAATTGCCCTATCTCAAAGGAAAAAAGTGGACCCTCAACAAGTTTTAGCAAGTTCCTCACACATTTTGTGTCCAATCCCTACTGCCCCAGAATCAAAGGAAGCACACATATACACGTTCTACCAAATCAAAGAAACTCAATGACGAGGCTTGCCAACGGAGGAAATCAAATCCGGAGCTAATCTATTCTTTTCCTACAAAGCAGCCACTTTGAGTCCTGGGTGACGTCAGATCAGATTCCACCAGACCAATGAGTTCCAAGAGTCCGGTGGCAGGTGACGCCCTAGAAAGAAATTTCTGAGAGGATGAAGTTTCCACCAATAGCCTCGGTGCTCTTCCCTCTGGACTTCGCCTATGGATCTCAGAGTAGTCCTGGGGCTAGGGACCTACACGTGTCTCTAAGGGAACCTCATGGGAAGCAAAACAGAACAAAGGGCAAAAGATCGCGGTGGTGTAAAGACGGTCCTAAAGGAAGGACACGATGGGCAGCCAGAGGGTGGGAAGGCTGATTTTGGCTAAAAAGGTCAGAAATCGTGGGAGCGACTCTTAGGCTTCACCCAAAGGGTCCTCCGTGGAAATGAAGAGATATCCCACCTCTCTCCCGCCACACCCCTCCTCTTCTGAGACACTGAGATCCGTGGTGCCACCCATCCCCAGGAGAGGACCTGAACTCTATCCCCGCGCGCCGTCCCGTGCCTTTTGCCCAGGACCCGGCAGAGCCTGTCCTTTCCCTCTGCACTCAAAAACGTCTGGCTCTCACCGTCCGCGGGGGCGCCTCTCCTCTCAGGCGAGCGGCGAGCGGACTCCGCGCTGCCTCTGGCCTGTGGCAGCCTGCAATCTCAGCTGTGAGCTCACATCCTGCGCCCGCCGACTCCGGAGCTACAGCCCCGCCCTTACGGCTCGAGAAACATTACTACAAGGCCCGGCATGCACAGCGCGCGAGCAGCTGGTGGAGTCGGGCATCCGCTGAGGTTTGGCCTCTTTCCGCTTCCGGGTGTGAGCGCAAATCTACTTCCGACGGCTTCCGGCGCAAAGGCTTCTGGGTCTCGTGGGCAGTTACGACTCCGCTCGGGTTGCCTCTTTTTCCCAGCGGGCACTGCGGGGTGGGCGGATGCTAGTGGTTCTGGTGTCCGGGGTGACGTGTGGCTAATAGGTCCTGTGTCCGTGGCAGCGGCCAGTTGCGGTTACCGGAGAGAACTTTCCACTGACAGTCATCTGGGCCGCAGCGCGCCGCTGAGGCGGGTCGGCAGGTATGTCGTGATCTGAGATCGGGGGACGTGGTAGACTTGGGACTAGAGGAGGCCGACGGGACCCCGCGCTGAGGCTTGGCAAGCCCAGGCCGAAAGCGGCGGTTTCCCACCCTCGGATTTTTGGAGAGCAGGTTTACACCCAGCTCAGCCCTAGAGCGCGGCTCCCTGTGATCTCACCGGGAAACCGAGGCTCGGACATTGCAGGAGGGTAACGTAGTAAAGACAGCCACGTCCTTTGCCCAGTGCTTCCTGACTGTGCCAGCGCCTTCTCCACACCCCACAGCAGCAACTGTTCTTAGTGCCTGCGGATCAGGGAGAGCCAGGGCGCGGAGAGCCAGTTACTGCCCTCATGCTTAGGAAACTTAGTCCCCGGTCCCTGGGACATGTTTGCGGTGGAAGCTGGGGGTGAGGTGGGGATCTGTTAGTCAGTCCCCTGTGAACCATTTCACTGCAGCTCTCTTTCTTACCCATCTCATTAAACTGTCCTTTCCGGCCATACACTCGGTCCAATCCAGATTCATGGCAATCGTGTTTGGCTCTTTTCTTCACTCATCTCCAAACTGCTGCATTAAGCAATCTATTACTAAGTTCTGTCGACTCAGAAAACATCTCAGCTCTGAATTCGTCTTCAGCTTCAAGTCTTTCTTCTGTTACAGCCTACTGTTTCCACATTGATTCATTCCGCAAACATTAACGGAGTGCCGCTTACCTGCAGGCAACCTGCTTAGATGCTAGGCTCACAGTGAAGAGTCTGGTAGATGTGCCTCTGTGCCGCTGTTCCCTGTTTCCTCCGGTTGGCCAAGGCAGTGAGTGATCTTTCCAAACCTGGTCGATGAGCACTGCTGGAATCCACTACCAGCTGTTACACCATTATAAGTTCATTCCTGGGACTTTCCCAGCATTTACCACCCACGCTAGTGTTAAATCGACCCTTGTCGTTTTGATCACAACAACCTTTGTGTCAAATTCTAGCTTCAGAATCTTCCCATGTGCTTTTCCCTCTGCCCAGAATGCCTCTCTCCCACCTTCTCTTAGAAGATTTTTTTTTTTTTGCACATGTTTAGGTCTCCTGTTATTTTTTCTGAAGGCTTTTGTTAACCCCCCTCTGCCCACTGAGTTATGGTCTCCTGCAGCGGCTTCACAGAGTACTGAGCACGGTTCCTCTTTTTTTTTTTTTTTTTTTTTTTTTTTGGTTTTTCAAGACAGGGTTTCTCTGTGTAGCTTTGCACCTTTCCTGGAACTCACTCTGTAGTCCAAGCTAGCCTCGAACTCACAGAGATCTGCCTGCCTCTGCCTCCTGAGTGCTGGGATTAAAGGCGTAAGCCACCACCGCCTGGTTCCTCATATTCTTATCACAGTTTGTGGTTATTTGCTTCCTGTCTGTCCAGAGACATTGCGTTCACTCTGTCCTTGGAGCAGGGATTCCAGTTTTTTGAGTAAATGCATGCAAACTCAGAAGGTGGTAGAAGTTCGAATAGGTGTGTGCATCCTCATATGAACTTTCCTATAGCACCTGGTCCAGTTAATCCCTGGTAACTCTTAAGTACTCAAACTGTTCGTCCAAAGAGAACAACACAAGAGGACAGGTTTTTTTTTTTTTTTTTTTTTTTTTTGTGTGTGTGTGTGTGTGTGTGTGTGTGTGTGTGTGTGTGTGTTTGAGACAGGGTCTTAAGTAGCACAGGATAACCTGGAATTTAGTATGTAACCCAGGTTGCTCCTAAATTTGTGTCTGTGGTCCTCTGGCACAAGTGCTAGGATTAGAGTCGTGCATGACCATAGCTGGCTTTTAACTCAAAATTTTTAATTCACCCAGATTTTTTATTTTATTTTATTTTTTTGTGTGTGTGGCATGTCAGTGCATGTGTTTGAAAAGCTTTTTGGGGTACATAAATGGGGATTTATAACTGTGCTTATGGCTCACAGCTTAGGCCAGATGCACCCAAGTGAATTGCTGTTTTCATTTTTTTCTCCTGTTGGCTTAGTGATAGTTCTGTAAAATCACTTAATGCAATAGTTTTTCAGGTTTACATGTCTGTTTTCCTCCAGCTAAACTGTGCTGCTCCAGGGCAGGCACCATGTTGCATTCATCTTTACACCCAGCATCTAGCAGTGTTGGCATGTAGTAGGCACTCAAGCAATGTGTGTTGAATGAACGATGCCTGTGACAAGCAACTGGACTTTACTCTTTCCTGACCCTTGCTCCTATGCCATACCTCCTGACTTCCACTGTCACCCCTTCAAAGCAGGACTTCTCTAGGGAGCCTCAAGGGAAACAGGTGAGGCTGAGAGGTGGAAGCAGAGGGAATGGGGAGTATGAGGAGGCTTGACATTGGTATCTGGGGACTGGAGTGGGCTGAGGTAGAGCCTGGATTATCTTGGGTGTCTAGGATGAAATTCAGGTTGGGGCTGATTTCTTTGCAGCTATGGCCAAGGATATCTTGGGAGAAGCAGGACTGCACTTTGATGAGCTGAACAAGCTTCGGGTGTTGGACCCAGAAGTTACCCAGCAGACCATAGAGCTCAAGGAAGAGTGTAAGGATTTCGTGGATAGTGAGTATCATTTGGAGACACGGTGCCATTCTGCTTGGGCAAATTCATCACCCCACCTTGACCGTCAGTCTTGTTCTGCAGAACGGAGTTGCTTGCTACCTGGATTAAGCCTGGTTTCTGGATTCCCATGCATACCCAACCTTCTCTGCTTGCCCTCTTATGCTGCTATGGAGTCCCACATTTAGTCCCAAGCAACACATTGGACTGGGGGAGAGGGGGAGGGTGGTTTTAGATGAACAGCCTTAAAATTCATGATAGAGAAGTAACTGGAGGTGGGAAATGGAATTATATATTCTGATTTGATTTCTTGGTACAGTAGTCTTCGTGGCAGGATCTCTGTCATTTGGAGCTAGAGGTGGTAACTGAGGTCTCCAGGAGCAGCTCAGCACAGTGGTGAGCTTTGAGCTACAGATCTCTAGGAGGCCCCTTTCCTAGCTGCTAAGCCAGCCAGCCCAGTGCCAGTGGAAAAAGCCAGATTAAGCTGGAACAAGGGGGTTTCTTTCCTTTTTTTGAGGGTCTTACTATATATGTTGTGTATTGGCCTCGAACTCATGATTCTCCTAACTCAGCCTCCCTAGTGCTGGGGTTTCAGGCCTGAAGCAAGAAATTTATGGGCCATGGTTTTGTGACAGGTTTCATGGTATCTGTTCCCAGTTTAATGGTTGCTGTGTGCTATGGCCCACTTCTCTGGCCTAGTTTCATAAAATGAAATAGGGTTCCAGCATACCAAGAGCATTGGAAAAAGTGAATGGGAAATGGGGCACCTAAATGATGTGAACTTTCTACCAGCCTGGTTACAGGTGGGGATTCTCACACCACCTTTTACTGAAACCCTGTGTTGAGTCTTTGGCCAGTCCAGAGGCTACACTTGTGTCCTGAGAGTCCTTTCTGGGAGAGGCAGCGTTGGGTCCACCCTGGAGCTCATGCTCAAAGTCTAGCTCTGGTACTGGTCCCTCTTCTCTAGGGTAGACCAAATGGTGGCAGGCTTAGGTTAGGAGGCACCAGGCTGCTGTAGCACAGAAGGGCAGTTAGCTCTGCCCTCCCTCCTTCAAAGGAACGCTAATGAGAATGTATTGTTCTTTCCCTCAAAGAAATTGGCCAGTTTCAGAAAATAGTTGGTGGTCTGATTGAGCTTGTGGATCAGCTCGCGAAAGAAGCGGAGAACGAGAAGATGAAGGTAAGATCAACAGTTGGCCTTGGCCAGGAACCCTGCAGGCCTCGTCTTTATTATAGGGCTGGTCGGCTCATTTATTTAACACAGGTGTTAACAGATGTTTAAAAGACTGATTTCATGTGGATGAATGTTTGTCTGCATGCATGTCTGTGCACATACATGTGCTTGTCTAAAAGCCAGAAGGTGTCAGATCCTCTGGAACTAGAATTAGAAATGTTTGGTTATGGTTGCTGTGAGTGCTGGTAATTGAACCTAGGTTCTCTGCAAAAACAGCTAGTGCTTTTAATGACCGAACCATTTTTCCAGTCCCCAAATTTTTCGATTGATTTATGTGCCTACATAAATCAATCTGTGATTGTTTTGCCTACATGTATGTATGTATACTATGTGTGTGCCTGGTGTCTATGCCCTTGGAGGTCAGAGAGGGTGTTGGATACCCTGGAACTGAAGTTAGAGATACTTGTGAGCTGCCATGTGGGTGCCTGCAGAACTGAACCTGGCTCCTCTCCAAGAGCAACCAGTGCTCTTAACCACCGAGTCCTCTCTCCAGCCTGGCCAGTACACACTTGTTACTCCTTTTGATCTTCATGGTAGTACTGGTGGGTGTTTACCCTCCATTTATAAATGAAGACATGCAAGAGTGCCTGGTACAGATGACTTGGTAAAAGGCATCAGTGATGCCTCCCAATAGGCCACTGCATACACTTGCAGGCCAGACTACTTCCTCTTGCCACTTTTCACCAAGCACTTTGGGATCAGTGGGTTAATAGTCCTGACTAGCCATTAAAACCATGGGGCTCAGGTTGGGGATTTAGCTCAAAGGCCCTGGGTTCGATCCTCAGCTCAAAAACAACAACAACAACAACAAAAAATCCATGGGGCTCCTCTCTTTCTCCCTCCCAAGTGGTCTCTCCCTCTTGGAG